ATCCCGGCGATCTTTTCTTAGTTGAACAAAGGAAAAACCAACTGCAGTGAACCGTATTGCAATAAAATACAATCTCCTTTTTATAACAAAACTGTAGCAGAATTCAACATTGCAATTAATTTTTTTTTATTACCTCTCCAAATTGTTTTTCTTGAATTTCTTGATGCAAACTTAAAAAAATGAAGTTTGCATCAATGAGCTTCAGCATTTTAAAGAGTATTTAAGGTTAGATCAGATTAGTCATTTCTTGAGAAATAAAAAAAAAATAAAGTAGCTTGATGGAAGTGGAACAAGAAGGCAACTCTTTGTTCGACATTCAAGCATGTCAGAGTAGCAATCATTGACTGGAACACATTAATTGGTCCCCATTATAAAGCTGTAGAAAAAGCCTCTTTTTTTACCTGTCTATATTCCCACACAATTTAAAGGAAAAAAACAGCCTTCATGCGATTACATTATTCAATGAGCAATACTCTGAAGTAGAGGATTATGTTCTTGATAAAGACATTTTTATCAAGCAGAAGGGGCTATATCTCTAGTTCACACCCGGAGCGACTGAGTTCCACATTATCGCTATGTAGACCAAGCCTCAGGATTGCTGCAAGGATAAGGATGCAATTCTAGCGATGCAACAGACCCATTTCTTGGCAAGAGTGACGCCACACCTGCGAAAGATGGGAAGGGATAATACCGTGATGAACAATCTGAACTTTTGTTTCTTTTTGCGTTGCAACAACCAGTCAGGGAGGAGATGAAGGTGTGGGTGGAGGTCGGCTGAAGGAGCACAGCAGAGACAAAGGTTTTTCAGCAAAAATGTTGCTAAATGTTAAGAAAAGATGAAGTAGAGAATGCTCATAAAAGGTTTGTAGGTGGCTTTTCAAAAAGTGTTTTAATTTAGCCCTAGAAGGACTGATAAATCTTCATCATTCCTCCTCCACACTAATGTTCAGTGCAGACAAGGCGCCAATTCTTCCCAACTATGTTACTCAGTGGTCGATTGACTGCTCAGACCTACAGTACTGCAGTTCTTTCTCAGCCTGTGTCTGAATGTCCGCCCTAATCATCATATAGGGCACTATATAGTGGTTACGCCATTTTAAATGAGTGTCTGAATGTCTACTGCATGAAAAGTAGTGGACCTCAAAATTTCCCACAATACACCTTGAAAACTAGGGGTCATCCAGTCAACAGTAATCATTTGTCTGAACAGTAAGTTAACTGAGTTCACTATAAAGTCCACTATATGGTCCCCGCTCTATATAGTGATTGAGGGATTTGGGGGTTAGTGCGGACATTCGGACACAGCCTCTGTCTCCAGCTGTTTGCTTCTAGAGCTAAACTCGTAGCTTTGGCCAACAGCTGCCTCTACTCAGCTCTGTTGTGCTCTCTAAGTTCTTTGATTTCCTGTCTGACCTCCAGAGCACTGTCTCACCTTACGTCTGATTTCCAGGTGATCAGTTAGGATAGTTCCTGGACCCAGATGAGACCTCCACAGAAAGAAGCCATGATCCAGATGTTGCTCGCTGAACTGGGATCATCTTTGGAGGATCTGCTGGACCCAGGGAGGCTGGTGCTTGGGGTTATGTCCAGCTTTAAAAACATGAATAAAGCAGCACGACTCCCTTTCTAAAAATCCAGGACCACCTTGTTGAGGTAAGGCTTTTAATATAATCCATGGACAGGGCTCGATGTTAACCATTGCCCGATCTCCCGGGGCAAGTAGTTTTTATTGTCGGGAGAGTACAAATTTCATTGCATTTGCCCGCCGGGCAAGTGCA